CCATCACCATCTCCATCACCATCTCCATCTCCATCCCCATCCCCATCCCCATCCCCATCCCCATCCCCATCCCCATCCCCATCCCATCTCCATCTCCATCTCCATCTCCATCTATCTCCATCTCTCCATCTCCATCTATCTCCATCTCCATCTATCTCCATCTCCATCTATCTCCATCTCCATCTCCATCTCCATCTCCATCCCTACCTTTACTCCTATCCCTTAATCTACATCTACAATATCTTTATCTGTATCTGGAGGAAGACACAACAGTCCTTCAGTCCATTACAAACACATTCTTGGATGACAAGCAGTTTAGGAATCCAGATAAGGCCCTTGTAATATCAAACTGACATTGGGTATGTCATGACATCATTGTGCAAATGCTGCAAACTTTGGTTACTCTGAGTTATGATGGAAAAGGATGCAAGCACGTAACTTAAACTTGCTGTATGGCAAGATACTATAACGTGTCCCTCTTCTTTTAAATGGAGATTCCAGTGAAAGAGAGGCAAATCAGGAGGTTAAAGAACATAGATAGATGAGATGAAAGATAGATGAAGACAGATACACAGATGGGTAGGCAGGTCTGCTCTTTAGGTACTTCATTAGAGATTTCACCCTCAGTGCTGATCCTCATTTCTAACTGACTCATGCCAAGACAACAGCATTATCTCCCTCTTTCAAACCATCCTTGATCGAAGCAAACATGCTATACTGCCACTTTTCGTTGAGGACACTGCATTAAGCTGAGGGACTGACAAAATGACCTCAGAAAATGAACTTCTATTCTTTTTAAACTTAGTTTTGAATCAAGAATGTTCAGAACCGGATTCTAGATATGTATCCGCCCAACATGGCAGTGTCTCTGGAATAAAGAATCTCCCTTTTTTCTTCTTTTGTGCATATGGCGGTCCCCTCATTTTCTGCTTCATATCTAAGTTTTTGGTCCAAAAGCTACTACAATGCAAAACTGTTTGTCATGTTAAAAAGCATTTTTAAAATATGCCTTGTAATGTGATCCTTTCTTGAATTTTTACAAAGATACTTGTATTTATGCCCCAAACAACAAAGCTTTAATCTATTCTATAGACTGTCTGAAAGCTTGGTTTTCTTAAATGTGATGAAAAGCTCTTTTCACCTGGGATACATCCTCAACAACTTTTTAATCTTCTGCATTATTTACTTATATTTCTGAAACATCACATCTTGCTATTGCTTGTTTAAATGGGTTTACAAAGCAGCATGAGAAAAAAAATAATAAACAAGTTTATAACCTATTTTAGTAATATCTACAGTATAATGTTTTCCATGTTTACATGGAAGTCAATCTCATTGTGTTCTGTGGAGAAAGCATGCAGGGGTTGATACTGTGAGATTTCTAGCCAGGAATTAGCCAAAGACTTCGAGGAAGTAATTATCAATTTAAGTATAGTCATTGTCCTTTCTCCCCCATGTCTTGGGGAATCCCAGTAGCCACTGATGAAACAATGGTTCCTGATTACATAAATGTTAGAAAATAATTGTCTGATTTCTGATACTGGATTGTCTTCACCTCATATTATAACCATGAGTGACTGGTTAGTTCAGACCCTGCTTCTGAGAAACATGGGATCTACTGTTTCGTCTCTAAATAACCATCGTTTATATTGAGATGATTATATTCAGAACACTAGTGTTAAGTTTTCTTCCTATGCTGATGGGCATTTCTCCTGTTCTTCACTGCAATATCAGTGGTCCTCTTCCAATTGTTCACAAGTATTATCAGTCCGGAGACCTCATTGTTGCTGCCATTAT